AAGGCCAATGGCATCCTGGGTGTATTAGAAGGGGGGTGGTTAGTAGGTCGAGAGAGGTCCTCCTTCCCCTCTACTCAGCCCTGGTGAGACCTCATCTGGAATATTGTGTCCAGTTCTGGGCCCCTCAGTTTAAAAAGGACAGGGACCTGCTGGAGAGAGTCCAGTGCAGGGCAACTAAGATGATTAAGGGAGTGGAGCATCTCCCTTTGAGGAAAGACTGAGGGAGCTGGGTCTCTATAGTTTGGAGAAGAGGAGATTGAGGGGTGACCTTATTAGTGTATATAAATATATAAAGGGGGAGTGTCACGAGGATGGAGCCAGGCTCTTCTCAGTGGCAAACAATGAAAGGACAAGGGGTAATGGGTACAAATTGGACACAAGAGGTTCCACTTAAACTTGAGAAGAAACTTCTTCTCAGTGAGGGTGACGGAACACTGGAACAGGCTGCCCAGGGAGGTTGTGGAATCTCCTTCTTTGGAGACATTCAAAACCCGCCTGGACACGTTCCTGTGTAACCTTATCTAGGTGTTCCTGCTCCGGCAGGGGGATTGGACTAGATGATCTTTTGAGGTCCCTTCCAATCTCTAACATACTGTGATACTGTGATACTGTAATCACAGAGTGATTTGGGTTGGAAGGGACCTTAAAGCTTGTCCAGTTCCAACATCTGCCCCGGGGAGGGACACCTTCCACTAGAGCAGGTTGCTCCAAGCCCTGTCCAACCTGGCCTTGAACTCTGCCAGGGATGGGGCAGCCACAGCTTCTCTGCCTAGAGTGGGATGAAATAATGGCAAAGAGCCTTAGCAGAAGAGCTGGATTAGCCAAGAAATGGCTGTTTAGTGTTCAGTTGCAGGTGATCTCTGTTGAACAATCTTCTCTGGGTTGTTAGCTTTGCCTTTGTGCTTCTTACTCTAAAAGTTATTTCAGAAGGTGTGGGCACAACTTAAATCCTTTGCAGGCTTTCAGGTACTGTATGTGCTTTCTTGGAAGCTTAAGTAACTAGAGTTAACACATTTTCACTCACATTATGCTCTTTGTGTCTCTTTCAGCATCACAGACAGTGCTGTTGAACCATTAAAAGCTGATCTGGCTGAACTGGACCAGTTGATTAAACACCAGCAAGACAAGATCTGTGCTGTAAAAGCTAATATTATAAAGAATGAAGAGAAAATCCGGAGGATGGTTCTTAACATAAACCTGTCTTCCAAAAGGTGAAGAACTGGAACTGACTGACATTGCTACCAAATAAAAACCAAATAGAAAAAAGGAAGATATCTGTTGTTGACATATAAAATGTTTAGGGACCCAAAGCCTAAAATTTATATAAAAGCCCATTATTTCATTGATCTTTAGAAGTTGATATTACTTGGGTTAGAATGATATTCGTTTGAATGCTCAAGTTGTAGAGCTATTAAAATAACTTGTTTAAATGTGAACTGCTGTTACTCACCAGGTCCTCACAGCCCTTTTTCCCCTCCCTGGACTGTTGAGCACAGTTTCTGAGCCACTTCTCTTTCCATCTCCTTTTCATTGCCACTGAGTTCCTGTTGAACACGCTGTCATGATACTACTTTTGCCCCTTAAAGTCATGAAATCGTAACCTCATAGAATACCAGGTTGGAAGTGACCTCAAGGATCATCTGGTCCAACCTTCTCTTTATAGTTTGAATGTATATATTTGATCAGAAGTTGGAAGCAACCAATCTCCTGCAGGTCAGAAGGTTCCTGAATCCTGTTTGTTATTAAGAGGGAAGATTGTCTACAAACCAAAGATCAAGAAGTAAAGCCTTGTGTAACTTGCACTTCTTTGCATCATTACAGAGATGGTGTCATGTATTTAGAGCCATTGGGAGTCTTACTGGGAACAACTGAAAATGCAATCCATGCATCACTGTGTAAGGGAGCAGAAGTATTTTATCTGCACAGGTGTTAATTCCATTTTTATTGCATCTGTTCATTTGGAAAGGATTAATTTAAGTGCCTCTTTCCTCCCAAATGCACGTTTCTGTAACCTTTTGTATGTGAATAATTCCACTGATTTATTTAACTGCAGGTGTCTGCTGTTTTCCTAATGACCTTTGGAGTGCAGTGCATGTTAGAGTCCAGCTTTACTCCTAAAGCATATTAGTGTAAAAACAACTATATGGTGCTGTGCTGAGCGCAGAAGGCTTTAGTCCAATTCAAGGCTCTTCTCAAGGTGTTTAATGTATGAGCACATCTCCTCCTTCCCTGTTGTTTGGATTGTGTATGAAGTGCTATTGGCCTTTTTCAGTTTTTCTTCTTTGATTGGCATATCTGTGGGGTTTTCTTTTACTTTCTTCATTGCTTTTTCTGGGATCTGGACCTATGATCAACCAACCAAACAGACCATCACCAAAGAGGGTGAGTATTTGCTATGTTAAATACAGGCATTTTAAAGGACAGGATGCTTTGCTGCATGGGGTTTTGGGGTGGGATTGGAAATGAAGTAGGGGGTTTATGAAGGAATAGGAGAAATTTTCTGATATATTCTTGACAGTTCATAGAATCACAGAATCCCAGATTGGTTTGGGTTGGAAGGGACCTTAAAGCTCAACCAGTTCCAGCCCTCTGCCACAGGCAGGGACACCTTCCACTAGGGAAGGTTGCTCCAAACCCATCCAACCAACATGACAGGATGCTCGTTGCACTTTTATTGTCACTTGAATTGTATTATTTCACTGTCTGAACTTAAATAGTGAAGCAATATTGTGGGTAGGCTCCAGAGAGGCAGGGCTTCTCCTGTGAGCCAGCCCTGAGTTGTCACCCTCTCCTACCATGCATTGCTTTGCGCCCCAGGTTGGAGCCTGTCCACTCCATCATGAAGAAAATGGGGTTCAGGATGTCCACCAGAATCCCCAAGCCCAGGACTGATGGTGAAAGCCTGTGTGGTCAATATGTAACTTCAGAGCAGTCTGAACGCTCTCTTCCTTTGCCTTGTACTTTCATCAAACGATATGGGGTTTGATGGGATTGCTCAGCCCCTGCTTACGGGGTGTTAGAACTCAAGAGCCCCTGGTCCCTCAGTGCTAGAAGCCACCCTTTAAAAGGACAGAGAGATTTGTTACCAGTCCCCCAGCCTTTGTCACCCATCCCATGTCCCTTCTGCATCCACAGCCAGGACCAGCATGGTGCTGCTGGAGCACAGGGCTGGCAGGAAGGCAGTCAGAGGGACCAGTTTCAGGGATGTTAAGTGACTTCAGCTCTGCCTTCGGTTAAGCAGGATTTAAATGATGACTTCTCCTTTCCCTCAGTTACTCCATTTCATGAAGTTCCTTTCACCAGACCCTCCTCTCGTCATCTTCTCATTGCTGATGGGTGCTGCGTAGCGATATGGCCCATGTATTCACCTGTCCTTGCGTTAGAAGTGAGCATGCCCTGAGTTGGGTTGGAAAGTGTAGGGCTCATATCAAGCTGCAGCTTGGAGGCACTCATTTGCTTCCTGGGAGACCTTAGGGATGACTTCCATCTCTATGCACCCCATTTCTTATGCTTTCTGCATCTAATATCACTTTAAACAAAAAAACAGTTAGTGTCAGGGTTTAACAAGACATCTGACATCTACAGTCATAGCTGGTGCTCTATCCAGGATTGCTTTGGTTTCCAGTGTGGTGGAACAAAGGTAATGCCTTGGAGCTTAGGCTTGCTTTCATTTTAAAAGTTGAGGATGCAGCACCACAAGAATGCCAAATAACCAACAGTGGTTCCTGAAGGGGGAAAGAAAATGGGTAGAGAAGAATATCTGCAGGCACTGAGTCTCGCACACAATGCTTTGTTCATGCCTTGGGCTTGCGTTTCAGCTTGTGGGTGGTTCATCAGCAAGGGGAACGTTGCTGGTGTGGTGGTTTGGGGTTTAGAACCCTTACATTGTCAGGCCTCCTGGTGCTAATGGGGCCTGACAGGTCTGGGAAGCAGGACTTGGATTTCACGACGTGCCTGAATGTGCAATCTTTCCCTCTCCCCGGAGTCTGAATGAATGCACACGTTGATGTGACTCAGTCTAGTACCTGTGATGGACTCAGGAGCTGCCAACTATAGTGATCTTCAGGTGGAGATCACACCCCAGGCATGTCCTGCAGTGCCCTGGTAGCTGCCTGCAGTACCAAGGCCTCTTCCAAAATGCTTCCTGCCATGTTTGGTGTGAAAAAGTACTAAGAAAGAACATTTCTGTTTTCCAGGGTGGAATTTAATTAGGAGGAATTAAAAGGTGTAGTTTATAGTTTAATTTAATGTGATGAAACAAGGCTCAGCTCCCTCCCCCTCCTGCCCAAATCCCAACCTGAGATGATGGCCTCCAATTGCAGCTGACAGCCACGGGAAGGGAAATGCTTACCAAGAAGAAAAGGGAGAGAAATTCCATTCCAGATTTATGACTTGTGAAGCAGAGGTTGCCTGGGTTTAGCCTGGGTCCCACAGACTTGACTTTGTTGTGTGCCCAGGAATGGGCTGAAAACTGATGGTTTTGGCTGCTTTTGCAGGTCACTTGTGTGTTCAGGTGCCATTTTGGGCCATGGAGGCTCTTGGTTATATGGATGTGGTGAAGTGTGTGTTCAGACCTTGTGCTTGTCCCAGTGAAGTGGGCCTTTCCAGGCATCTTTTTGGCTACTGATAGGGATTGGGATCATCAAGATGAAAGGAATGAGAGGGGTCTGGCCCCGGGGACACTGGCATCGAAGACAGTAGGCATTGAATTCTTTTAACTTCCTTAATAGAATGTGGGTGAGAACAAGTTTGGAAAGCAGAGTTATTTATTAACTAATACTATTGGGAATAGATTTCTATTTCTGTGTACTTCATATCCCAAAGTTCAAAGAAGTTAATGAAAATGCTCAGATTATGGTTCAAATAGAAGGAATTAACTGGTGATATGACTTGGCCATTATAATATTGGTGTCATGGTTTAGTGGTGGCCTGGGGGTAATGGTTGGACTTTATGATCTTAAAGGTGTTTTCCAACACAGTTGATTACATGATTACCCCCTTCCTCCCAGAAGGATGCTGGAGAGGCAAAGACCAACAAGTCTAACCTGGGGACCCATGTGCCTTTCCTGCAAGGTCTGTTAAAGGTTAGTAGCATATTCATCTCTGTATTATAATACAGCCCAAAACCTGAAGCAAAGAGAAGGAATTTCCTGTTGCTGTGAAGAACATCAGATAGTCTGCATGGCCATGGTATACCAGGACCTGTCTTCTCTCTCTCTCCTGCCAAACCACATTTAGGGAGGTCTTGTGCTGCAATGCTGTGGAAAGGAACAGCCCTTGCTTTCCATTCCAACTGCTTTTGTTTGGACAGGTAAGTATGGATGTGAATTCCTCCCTTCTGAAAAGGCCAGATGAGCCTGTTCCAGGTGACAGGGATACAAACTGAAAGGGCTTCTATGGATTTAATGGGAAAGGCATATTTTAACAGAGTTCTTTTTGTTCCAGAAGACTGACTTGGCCTACAAGGAAATGGATGGGAAGTAGTACAGGCAAGAGGCGTGGATGAGCTGCACAGCATCTCACCATTCCTGGGCAGCAGCCTAGCCATGGGGCCTGTTTTCTGTCTCACAGCTTTCCATGGAATGAGGTTGGTGGCAAGTGGTGCTTAGTTTCTTCTCTGCTTTCAGGTTTCGCTGCTTTTTGGAACAGCATCTACTGATGCTGGAGACCAAGTGTTGGCCAGGGATACTCAGTGTATTGCAGACCTGCCTGGGAAGGAGAAGCTGTGTGGATAAGGAGTGGTTGCTCCAAGCAGGAGGTTCCAACCTGCTCTGGCTTTAACCTCCAGAAAAAGAAAGGAAGTTTTTGTGGCCAATTCAAATAATCCTGGTGGTACTTCCAGTGCACGTTCCACAGCTGGAAACTGGAGTCAACCCAAGGCAGGTCCTTGATCAGCATCACTGCGTGGAGCATAGGGAAAGGTGGGTAAGAACCAGAAAGACACTGATTGTGAATGAGCAACCAGAGCACAGAGATGCTGGGCTCTGTCTCATCACAACCACTGCACATTGCTTTTGCTCACTGGAGAGGTGGCAATGGGAAGAGAAAGAGTCCAAGATGCTTCTCTCCACAGTTCCCAAGTTACTCCATTGATCATCTGTGGTGGGTTGACCCTGGCCAGCTGCCCACCAAAACCACTCCACCACTCCCCTCAGCCAGAGAGGGGAGAGAATATAATGGGCTGCAGGGGGGTATCTGCTCCCTGCAGGGGAAAATATAATGGGCTGCAGGGGGATTGTGCATTGTCTCTGCAGAGGTTTGGGAGAAGGATGGGCCAGGAGAGGAAAAAATGTCTCCCTTTTACCCAGTTAAGATCTGGAATTCCTTTGCAGCTAACGTGCAGCTCATGTGTCTCTCAACATGACTCTTGCTGTATTATATTTAGCTGTAAAACCCAACTGTGCTTCAATTTCCCTCTGCAGCTCTTGGAGGAGGGATTTTTCTCCCTGCCCTCTGTTGAGCATCCTTTCCAGATCTCACCCTGTTGTGCTCATCTCTTGCAGGCCATTCTTCTCACTGAGAGTTACACTTGGAGTGGGGAAGGAGAAGAGTACTGCAAGGCCAGATAGGATTGTTTAGGTTGGACAAAGATGCTTAGAACTTCCTGGGCTGTGTAGCTTGATGTAGCAGGTAGGTTTATTTATTCACCTGAGGAGCACCTTGAGCTTTGGAGCCAGGAGGAATGCATGCTGTTGGTAGGTAGCCCTGTGCCCACTGGGTAGCCTGGGAGGAAGGAAAGGCGTTCTCCAGTTTTAATGTTCTCTGACTCTCAGCTTTTCATTCCTGGCCACACAAGCGTCAAGAAAGAGCTGTTTTGATGTTTAACTGCATTAGGGGGCTGTAACCTCAGGGCCCACGTTAACAGTATCCTTTTGCAGCCAAAGTGGAGGGTGAGAGACCAGGGTGTCTCACAGCTACATACTGTTCTATTGTGCTGTGGTTTAGATCTGGTGGTGGGAGTGACCAGAAGCTATGTGTGAATGGGTGTTAAACGTGTTTCTGCATTCAAATGTCACTTTCTCAAGTATCATGTGCTGTATTTGCATGGGTCTTGTGGGCTCTCAGTGTGCAACCACAGAAAGCAGCTGGAGCACAGGACCTCCCGAAGGTATCCATCCAGATGCTTCTAGTGCTTTGGGTGACATAGCCTAGTGTGAGGTGTCCCTGCCTGTGGCAGGGGGTTGGAACTGGATGAGCTTTAAGATCCCTTTAACCCAAACCAGTCTGGACTCTCTGATGCACCTGCAAGCTTGACTGAAACTCCATTTTGGTAGAAAAGCTTCCACTGGCTCCAGCAGAGGCTGAGTCACAGCTTGACAATGGGCTTTTGTGATGGAGAACCCACCTTCATACCACCATTGCACTGCAAGGGAATGGAGCTGCATCAGCGATGTACCACCTGCTGCCTGACAGCAAGGGGAGGAGAGGCACCTCACTTGCAAGTCTTTGGGGTGGACCAGGGGTTTCAGCCCATAGATGGGCTCCAGTTGTCTTCCTGGAGTGTTTGTGGCAGCTCCTGTGCATCCTTTGAGCTCCATGACAAGAAGCGTGGTGAGGGATTATTGTGAACATGGGAAATTTCTCACCTCAGGCCAAACCCAGGAATGTGGGATGGATTTGGACCAACTTTTATTTTTCCTTTTGGAATTTTATTTAAAGAAAAATAAAAATAGAGCCTTGGGCAAGAGCCGGAGCCTGGAAAATCTGATCCCAAAAGGTGGATGCATTGTGGAGTAGGGAGCATGTGAAAACAGCTGCTTAAACTGAAATCATTTCATAGATTGAAGTACAGAAACTCCCCCAAGCCTGTCTAAAACCTGGAGTGAACTCTTCTTGAAAGGCAGAGGTAGAAGAGGCCATCAGCAACTCACCTGAACCACTCCCAAAGCCACAGGTGGCTGCAGGACCCAGAGAGAAGCCAAGTCAAATGAGAAGAGGCTTTTGGACCATGTAAGGACTACTGCAGCACGTTGTGCAGTGGAGGAAGGGCTGGTGTGAGGTGAGAGCCAAAACTACACTGCCCTGCTCCATGAAAACCAGTGGACACGCTGCTGAAGGTGGGAATGGGGTCCTGGGGAGAAGGAATCTGCAGCTGGGAGGCTTTATAGCCACTATTGGTATCATTACAGCTGAATGGGGGCTAATTACAGCAAGGCTTTGATGCACAAGGTGCTGCATTGATCTCATTGTGGGCAGCACAGAAAAGGGGGAGCAGTGCTCTTGAGCTGCCTGGATGGCTTCCAGTAAGCACAGTGTGTGGTTGTCATTGTCCTCTTTGTGATGGACTGTGCTCTGCCAGAGCCCAAGGCCTCAAAACCACGTCTTGTATGTGGATTAAGTTAAAATCAGGAAGAAATTAGATTTTCTTGCTCAATGATCTATGATCTGTCCATTTTTAGTGGATGAACGTACCTACACGTGTCTATGCTCTAAAGGATGCTTGACTCCATTTGCTATACTATATATAGAATATAGCCTGCCTATACTATAGGTAGGCTATTTTCTTTAGAGGTTAATACTGCTTTCCTGTGCACTCAGGAGTTCAAAAGGGGCTGCCTTATGGGATGCTTTAAGGAGATGCCTTATGTTCAGCCCCATCCCACTGAGGTCCTCCCAGAGGACCCCTGAGGACAGCAGTGGGGGGCAGTGGTGCTTCAGCTTGATGCCTCCTTCCCAGCTTCATTCTTAATGGGCACTGGTGAGCATTTAGGCTCTGCGGGTCACTAGGAATGAGCTGATTTCTGTCGAGTTACTACAAGGTGTGATTATGAAGTGTTAGGATATACGGGCTGCAGGGTTTTACAGCTGGGTCTTAAAGGGCTCATAACAAGAACAGAAAGGAGGGGGGGGTGGGGCTTAAACTGGAAGCCAGGAGCACAGTCAAGTTAGGAGTACAATGGCAATGCTAATTCCAATCCCTTGGAGAGAAGGGGGAAGGAAATGACCTAACTCCCAGTGCTGTCAAGGGAGAGGCAAGCCAGAGGCTGGAGAGGCTCCCTTGGGTGATGGGAGATAAAGCCTTAACATCTCCTTTCTCCCCTACCTCAGAGCAGGTGAGTGTCCTTGCTTTGTCAGGAGGGCCAGGAGGGGCATACATGCCATGGAGAATTTAGTAGAATCCCAGCCTGGTTTGTGTTGGAAGGCACCTTAAAGCTCATCCAGTTCCAATCCTCTGCCACAGGCAGGGACACCTTCCACTAGAGCAGGTTATCTCCAGCTGTCTCTCCTTCCCTGCTCTACAGGGATCTACTGGAGACAAGGTTTCTTACAGGGTCAGGTCTTTCTCTATGTTATTGGCCTCCAGCACTTTGCTGTTTCCTAAGTGTTTTTGGCAGTGTGAAATGCCACAGCATGTTTTGTGGCATCAAAAGACTCACTTCCCAGAGGTAAAGAGTGGACCTTACAAACTCAGTTGTGGTAGTGCTAATGCACTGTCTTGGTGAGCAAGGAAAATACTCTGTCATTACAATAAGTACCTAAGTAGGATGGCAAAGTAGCTGGCAAAGCTGATCCACCCTCCTTTCCTCATGGGAAAGCCAAGTTCTCTGCATTCGATTTTCTTTTTTCCCTATGTTTAAAATGACTCAACCCCTTTCCTCTGTGTTCTGGAAGGCTTTTCAACATGGTGAAACCACACAGCAGCAAATCCACAGCTGAGTAAGTCCACAGAGAACTGATCTCACCTACTTGCAAGAACCAGTGCTACATTTGCTTCTGGTTCAACAGTGGAGAGGAAAAGGAAGGAAGAGGACATTTTAGCAAAGGACCTGGCAGCACAGCATGGAAGGTGAGGCTGATCTGAAAGCAGTGCCCAATTAGCCCAAGGCAATTGGGATGAAAGATGCAGCATATTGAAGATACTGTCTTCTCTTAGGTAGCTGAAGGACTATCCTTTATTAGGATCAGAAACTTCCAGCTATGTGGGCTTTCCTTCCAAAACTATGCACAAATCCAGATTCTTTCCAGCTGGGTGCACTCTTCTGGAGCTGAGATTCTGGAAAGGACAAGCAGCTCTTCCCTTGTTTTACCTGAACATATCTGTATGATGCCTGCTCCTGTCCCACATCCTAATGCATCTCCTTTGCTGCAGCACTGGGATGTGGGTGCCCACTACAGCCCTTGTTTTAAGCCTCCTAGAAGAAAACTTGTATGTGAAGGCTGGAGAGGGTCATGCTTGTTCTGTGCTAGAAACCTCTCAGTGGCAAGGGGCCACTCTGGAGTATCCAATTCCTTGTCATTACCTAGAGAAAAGCTGCTTTTGCCTTCCTTTGGCTTTCTTAGAAGCTGGGCAAGGTAACATGGTGCAAATTCTCACACTAGCACCCAGTGGATGTAGGGCAGAGAAAGGCTTTCCATTGCCACATCATAGTGCTGGTGCATCACAGAATTGTTTCACCAGGGTGCTGGGGTATGTCTGCTCTCCCAGGATGAGGAGGCATAAGGCAAAATCTGAGCAGGATGAGCAGAGTGCTACTGAGAAGTTAATAGGGAAGAAAAAGCTGGTTTTCAGGTTCCAGAATTTGGGAGCCAACAGCTTTTCCATCACCTTGGGTTAGAAAGGGTGACAAAGTGGCCATAGGCTGGAGTTTCCAGCTGTCTTTGTTGATTCCAAGGGGAAAGAAGTATACGCTCAAGCTTGACCAAAGCTCCTCCTGGAGGATCCATTTCCTGGGAACTTTCACTTTGATGGCTGTGAAATCCATAACGTTTTTCTTCTTGTATCTGGGAAACTGCAGCTGAGCTCCTGTGGGGCTGGTCCTTGCTTAAATAAATGACAGTAAAAATAACTCCCAAATGCAACACCAACATGGGCATGTAAATCAAAGCCTGGCGTGCCCATTAAGGTAAAGTGTCTCCTTCTGCAGGAGTTGTCTGTGGAACTGCCATCCTGCAAGTGAAATCCAACCGAGAGGGAGGAGGTAAGGTCCCATCAAGATAGGCCTCACAAATCCATCAGCAGCTTCACTTCAGAAGAGATACAAGGTTTTAACAGGGCTGTCAGCAGCATTCTTCAGGTCACACTGCTGCATAAAAGAGAGTGTTAGAACCTGGGACTTAAACTAAACAGATTTCCTATAGGAAACACACACAAAATTACATTGCTTCTAAAGTTACTTTTATAGACATTTTCCCTGAGAAATATTTCTCCCTGGAAAAATAAATTCACAGGATGTAATTAAAACAGTTCTATGTGTACACTGGACTGGCCCCCTTTAAGTGCTTCACCAAATGCACCACTAAATAAAGGAATGAAAGCCAGCTTTGTTTAACTCTATTAATAACAATATGTATTAATTATAAAATGAGACATTGTCCTGCCTGGTTTATGGTTATGAAAATAGCCTTTAATAAGGCTGAGACTGAAGTGCGCAGCCTTGCAGTTGTCTGCACTGTTAAAAGGGCTTTCAAAATCTCCCCTAATCTACTTCTTTTACTTGTCAAATCCTGGCTTGACAAAGGCAATGGGGATCAGATTCCACACCCCATGGATTCTGGCAATAACCAGGTGCTGATGACTGTAATCTTTTCTGCTTTTCTTGCCGTTTAGCTTTGGTTAAACAAAAAGGGGCAACTGCATTGTATTAGTTCAAATTCCATGCTTTGGGGAACAAAGCCTGAAGAGATTTGTATTGATCCATCACTGCATTAAGTGCTCCCAAATCTGCTCGGATTAACTAGGGATAATGATTCCCTCTGTACCTGCATGGCCCAGTCCAGCCACATGTGGGAAAGGAAGACAGTCGGTTCAGGAGGCCCTCAGTGCCACGGGTTAGTGGTGGCCTTGGCAGTGCTGGGGAATGGTTGGACTGGATGAGCTTAAAGGTCTTTCCCAACCTGGTTGATTCTATGATTCTCTTTATAGCCCAGCTAAAATACTCTTGAGAGGCTATTGTGTTTTTCCTTTCCACTTGTCACACCAGGACTGTGTAATGGGATGCTCCTCACCTGAGGAAGGGATGCTGGTGTTACTAAACATGGGCTGAGGTAGCCTGATGCCCTAGAGATGCTTCTCCTGTGGTGGCATCTTGTGATGCTGCCTGTCAGCCCCAAGCAGATTCAGTGCAGAGGGACATGGCTCTGCCATTTCAGGGAGTGATCTGGAAGATCCAAGGAAGTGTTTGCTGGGCTGTAGTGGCGGAACATCCTTGCCTGCCCATTTTCCCGGTGTCCTTTCTACACAGGCCATCTCTCACACTGGAATTCATTATACCCAGTTGTGTACCTTTGGGGTTTAGTTTGGTTAGTTCATGTCACCTTTTATTCTTTCTCAGAAACCAAAGGCAAAAAATACACCTTTATACCAGCATTAACATAGCTATAGAATGGGTTTGATTGCTATATTGCTGTCCTCGTCTCTGAGCAGCTTCCAATATCTGAAGGGACCTACAAGGATGAAGAGAGGGACTCTTCATCAGGGACTGTAGTGATAGGACAAGGGGTGATGGGTTCAGACTGAAACAGGGAAGTTCAGGTTGGAGATAAGGCAGAAGCTCTTCCCTGTGAGGGTGCTGAGGCACTGGCACAGGGTGCCCAGAGAAGCTGTGGCTGCCCCATCCCTGGCAGTGTTCAAGGTCAGTTTGGACACAGGGGCTTGGAGCAACCTGCTTTAGTGGAAGGTGTCCCTGCCCATGGCAGGGGTTGGAACTGGATGAGCTTTAAGGTCCCTTTAACACAACCCAGTCTGGGATTCTGTGATTCTATGTCCTATGAATATATGTATTCTATTCTGTGATTTTCATGCCCTCTAGGCACAACTGGCCAGGTTTTGTGTCTCTCTCTGCAGCACACAAGGTGATGGTTCTAATGCATCTCCAGCCTGGGACTTCTTTATTGAGCCGAGAGGTACAAAGTCAGGCTCATTTGTTAACAGAAACGTTGCATCACTGATAGGAGAAAGATTCTTTAAGAGGTATTATCAGAACAGTCCATGTTATTTCTTTAATGGAAGCTGACTTTTGGTAACCAAGATGTTTTAGAGGGCCTCTCTGGAGCCACTTCCAACCTACATGAAAGCAAGCAGAGCAAAAATGGGCAGGGGTTGGTTTGAAATACCATGAAGGAAACAGAAGCCCCTTGGCTGGGAGTGAGGGGAGGTGGTTAAACGTGTCAAGAGTTCATTTTCATTCCTTAATTAGCTCTAACCCTTGTGCCCTGCCCCAGCGAGGGGAAGGCAGGCGGGGAGCGCTGCCCTGTGCTGCAGCGGAGTGGGGACAACAACCGGAGACATGTTTTATGTTCACACCCCACCTCGGAGGTAGGCCGGCATCCAGAGCATGCCGTAAACCAGGCAGGAATGCCGCTGCCTGGAAACATGCTCGTAATTTTTGTGCCACTCTTTCCAAGAGACACCTTTCCTCATGTAACTGTTCTCAAACCACAACATGTTCCCATTCCCCTCCTGATAATGCTTTGTAGTTTCTCTCTTTTTAATGCTGAGTTTGGAGTAAGGGGGGGGGGTTAGTGCTTGTTTTGCTTAGTTTCCTTAAATCCCCCCTCACCAGAACAGCCAGGGGGCTTCTTTTCCCCTTTTATTCTCTTAGGGCTCAATTCAATAAATATACATCCGGCTCCTTCGCAGTCCTAGGCTGGCTTAATGAAACTGTGCAAGGCACTTCCAAGAGAAGGATGTTTATTTTTCTCTGCTGATTCGGTTAGACTGGTCCAGCTCTTGTGTGCCCAGAGAGCTGCTCTATAAAGAGACCCTTATGATTGCAGTGGGGATGCTGTGTCAGGCGGTAAGTGCCTGCACTCACTCAACACTGGGATTCTCTTACTGCAGGGAAAGGGGTGCAGGCAGATGGCTGGATTTGCTATATACAATGCACGGGGATAAAAAAGCCTGCTAAGAGCACAGTGTTAAGGTGGGAAAGTCAAGCACTTGCAAGGCAGATAGAGCTAGAGCTGTCTGGAGAGCAGGCTTAATTCATCTGTTTATGGGAGCACATTATGAAACACGCTCCCATTTTTGCATAGTCCTGTGCTTGTTTCTTAGGTAATAGCATTTTCTAGCTTTTGCCAGAACTTGCCACCTTCACAGTGTACTTTCTCCACAGATAATCCAACACCACAAAGATCCCAATGCCTGTTCCTAGCTGGAAGCAGCAGTGAAGTCAAGCGGCTCCAAAAGGAAGGTGGAGATGTAGATACTGCTGTGGTGGACTTGGTGAGCCTTTTATCACTAATGCAGGCTTATGAGCTGCTTGGTCAGTGCTGGTGAGACCAAGTTTGATGGCAGCAGCCCTACTGCAAGACACTGGGAGTCCCTTAGGCCTGCCTCAAATGCCTTGATGGGTCGGACTACATGAATTTCAAAGGTCCATCCAACCCAAACCATTTAACTTCTCTATGTGTCAGGAGGCAATCACTGCTCTGGGACATTCTGCCTCTTTGCAATAAAGTATGAAAACCTGGCAGCAGCAGTGGGGATGGACACATGCAGAAAAGCCAGATGCATTCAGATGCCAGTAGTTCAGGGTGATTGCTGTCCTCTTTGGGCCTGGCATTGAATGTTCACAGAATAAACCATGTTCTTTGCCTGAGGGACATTCAGCCAAAGCCACAAGGCAGAGTAAGTGTCCCTCTGACAACGCCAGCATTGTCAGCAATAAGCAGTGGGAAATCAGGAGTCAGGTCCCTCCTGATCCTTAGTTCCTGATGTGCAATTGATTTTGCAAAGCACCAGATTCAAAACAACCCATGGATTTAGTTCTTTTGTTTTTGCCTTCCCATTCACAATCTCAGTTTCCTACCCAGTGAGGAAGCCCACAGTGTATTTCTGAATGAAAGCTGAGTGCCTTTCACAGCATCTTTGGCTCTGCTTCCCATGACATGGGATTAGGAAATCTCCATCTTCCCACTGAAAGGAGGGAGGGCGATGGCTCAGGGAGCATCAGAGACCTGCCAAAAATCACAAAGTGAGGGGCAGGGGTGGGAACCCAGTTCCTATGAGTGGTAATCTGCTACCTTCCTACTTGTCTTGCCCTCAGCTGCTTTGGGACGAGCCGATCTTGTTGCTTTGAGTTAGATTTGCTTCCTAGTTTGCTACTTACGACAATGTTTAATGGTTTTAATAAACCAGAAGGCATTCCTTTCAAATTAGGTTGATCTGCAAAACCCAACCAAGTGTTTCCATTACTACAGCTGCTTCTCCCTTCAGCTGAGGACAGAGGCAGTGTGCTGCAGGCTGGAAAGGGTGTCCATTCATCTACAGGTTGCTGTCAGCTCTTGGGTAAGCTGGTGTTAGTTCTCTGGTGGGTACACGTCCATGTACTGGAGATTCTGGTCTAGAAAGAGAGAGGATGAAACAATTCATTGAGTAACTATAACTTTAAACAAAGATCCTGATCCTGTCTGTTGTTGGTCAAGAGTTTGAGAACAGGAAAGGGTTACAGATGATACTTGTCTCCTCTGCATTAAGGATCAGTCGTAGGGCTGTACTGGACCTCTCCTTTGCTAGACACAGAGTCTACAGCCTTGCTGTAGTTTATAAGAAAGCATTGGAGTGACCTTGTATTTGACATCTTTGCCTAGGAGCTTACATTCCAGTGTTGTCAGCAATGGTGCTAGGAAAGTAAAGGACAAACATTCCTGTATTTTCCATCAATTTGTGTTATGGTCTTTCTTTCCCTCTAACTGGAGATTAATCTCAGTCCTGCCAGAGCTAGCATCTTCTCCAAGCCTAACTGAAATACCTATTACACAAACAGTACAAGTAGTTGGTTCGGTTTATTGAAGGAAACGTATGAAACTTGGTTGGACTTGATGACCTTAAAGGCCTTTTCCAATCCAGTTGTTTCTATGCTTCTAAACACGGAAGGATCTCCATTGTCAGGTTAGCACAGGGATGCATCTGCTTGGCAAAAGGAATCAGAACTGTAGGTACGAAAGGCGAGGGCAAAACCACCAGAGGCTGAGCATCAGGCACTGGATGGAGCTGGGTTTTCCATCCCACATCAGCTCTGCTTATTACTTTAAACACTAATCCATGCTTCTAACTGCTGATAGCAATCCCCCTGCCCATTTCCATGTGGATATACTTTCCATAACTGATTTTCCTTGGAATATTTAACAGCCGATGCTGCTTCTAATATTCTCTTTGCTTGCCTAACGCTCAAAAGGGCTGCTTTAGCTATTTGCTTTGCTCTCCAGCAAAGTGTCTTTGGCATTTTTCATCACTGAGACTAAATGCAAAGAGAGGCTACATACCTGAGGGTGAAACCTGCCCCATCCCATTGCTTGGTGGACCCTGGCTGCCTCTGTCTCTGCAGCAGTAGAGACATTCCGAGCACAAGGAAAGGGAGGAAAACTCCAATGGAGACTTTATCGCTCTTTTTCAGGAGAAATGGCCATCTGGAGCCTTCCTCTGGTGGCAGATGTGGGAACATCAAAGGAGAAGCAGGCACCTCCTTCAGCTCAGTCACCAAACAGAACACCTCCTTGCAGGCAGGTTAGAAAACAACATAAAATCTGCTGAAGACAAGTTTCCATTGACAGCAAAGAGCTGCCCAGAAATGAGTCACGCAGGAATGGTTCAGACCTCCCCCACTCTCACCAGGGGATTTGCAGACAAAAGGGATTTATTTATTTATGGGGTTTTTTTGCTATTTTTTCTTTTCAGAAAATACTCAGATTTTGATGGAAAAATACAACGGGGAAGTTTTTTTTCCCCTTTGTTTTTGCCTTTTGAACAACTTCTTTCACCACTTGTGTGGAATTCTGAGAAATACCTTGAGGAAAAGCAAGTGCGGGAAAAAAGAGAAGAGCTGTAACAGCTTGGGAGGAGAAGAGTTCATTTCATAGATCATAGAATCACAGGATAGTTTGGGTTGGAAAGGCCCTTAAAGCTCATCCAGTTCCAACCCCCTGCTACGGACAGGGACACCTTCCACTAGAGCAGGTTGCTCCAAGCCCTGTCCAACCTGGCCTTGAACACTGCCAGGGACGGGGCATCCAAATACTTGTAAGCATGTTTGCTCCATGAGCTGGGGGCCTGTGGCCAAGGTATGTGCTGCCACCCTCTTTCAACCTAACCCACACCTCTCTGAGTACAACCAGGATGAAATGCAACCTGCTATGGAGCCAGTTTTCCTTAAGGGTGTCATTGCATGGTGAAGCCAGTGTAATCTTTCCTCTGCGACCACCTTGGGGCTGGCATGCTCCATGCAGGTGAGATGTTCCTGACCTGCTATCACCCACATCCAGGCTACTGAATTTATCTGTGTTTATTGTGGTGGCTCTTTACTCCAGTTTAACCCTCTCTCCTCACTGGCAGGACTGACTGTGCTGCTCAGCTGGGAGCAGCAGGGGTACTGGTCATCTGTCTCATTTTGTGCCATGATGAAGATGAGAGGTGGGTGGGATTTTCTAGTCTCTGCCTTTCTACGGCTTTACATTATAACCTCCACTCTGTGTCCTCCACTTTCTCATGGTCGGGATTGACGAAGCAAAGTCCTGGATAGCGGATGGAAGGTCAAAATACAGCTGATGCATCAGTCCTGCCTCTTGCAGCATAATTAACTTACTGGACTCCAAGCAACCTATCTTTCATCATCTTTGTGATTACAGCCCCAGTCCTAATGACAGTCCCGGATGCTGGAATTAAGTTCTCCTCCCATCCCCCTGTTGAAGTACATCTTCATGTCCACGTTAGAAACTATACAAATTCCAGAGAAAAATGTTGAGCTGTGCTAAAAATGGGAGGACAGGAATTCCGCCCCCTCTCTCCTTACCCCACAGATGCATTTATCACCAGGGCAACTCAGCTTCAGAGTTCACTAAAAATTCAAGCTGTTGGCTTAGTTCCAGAAGGGAGAAGTTTTATAGACTGAGCTAAGCGTGAATTACAGTTCTGGTTACAGCATTCCTTCTTTTATACCTGCTTTCTTTCTTTCTTTTCTTCTTTCCTTCTTCTGGAGCAAGTCCAGAGGAGGCCATGAGAATGAGCAGGGGCTGGAGCACCTCCTGTATGGAGCCAGGCTGAGAACATTGGGGCTGTTCAGCCTGGAGAAGAGAAGCTGCATGGAGACCTCAGAGCAGCTTCCAGTGTCTGAAGGGGGGTACAAGGATGCTGGAGAGGGACTCTTCATCAGGGACTGCAGTGATAGGACAAGGGGTGATGGGTTCAAACTGAAACAGGGAAGTTCAGGTTGGGGATAAGGCAGAAGCTCTTCCCTGTGAGGGTGCTGAGGCGCTGGCACAGGGTGCCCAGAGAAGCTGTGGCTGCCCCATCCCTGGCAGTGTTCAAGGCCAGGTTGGACACAGGGGTTTGGAGCACCCTGCTCTAGTGGAAGGTGTCCCTGCCTGTGGCAGGGGTTGGAACTGGATGAGCTTTAAGGTCCCTTTCGACCCAAACCATTCTTTGATTCTACGATGTGCATGCTCAAGAGGCAGTGGGAAACGTTTGTGAATGTGGATGGTGTTTGAGGGAGCTGCTCATGACTGAGGGCTCAGAAGGAGATTTTTGCTTTTATTTACTTCTTTTATTTGTTTCATTGCTTCAGCATTAGGAGCTGCAGAAATGGCCTGGCCTAATGAGTGAGTCAGTGTATGTTGGCTGTGTTGGATTACTGGCTATATTTAGATACTGGAAGCTTCTCCTTAAGAGAGTCACAGGCCTCAGTTGCTGGGTGGACTGGTTTTCCAACGGGCTGGAATCACTGCAGCAAGCCAAAAGGCCACCCACAGATTATGAATCATGGAGGGAAGAGGGGCCAAGCTTGGTCACCTGCCTGGCTACTTCTCCTTCCTGGTGGTGGGCATGGCCAGGGCAGGTTACTAGAAGTAATGTGCTCCAAGAGCCAGCAGATCCTGATTCCTCTGGAGTTCTGCTGTCTTGTGCAAGAGGAGGATGTACCTCATGTACCTCAACCAACCAACTGCTTTTTTTGCAGTCTTTTGAAGTAGTCCCTGGAGTTGAGCACTGTTCCAGGTACAGGAAGCATTGGCTGACTATTACCAGGATTATTGGATAATTCAGACTGAAAGGAATTCAGACTCAGGAGGCCATCTCGTCCAGTGTCCTGATGGGGCAAGGAACAGCAGCCAGGGCTGCCCACAGCCTATGTCCTCAGCTGGTAAGAGAGATGTCTGGTAGGAGCAGTCAGGTATGCTGGGCATGTATTTCCTAGATCTTGGCTGAATGTTAACCTGTTTGCAAATTACACTCAGAGTGATACAGATTTCCATCACAGTCTCTTTCTCCATGGGATTTCTCTTAAACATCTATGGATTTCCAGTGCTGGCCATCTCCAAGGCTGAGAGAGTCACTCCCTTGCTACCATCCCTGTATAAGAACTCATTAGGTCAATTTAGGATGGGTTGGTTTTCATATGTATTTAAGGAAAACAAACATGCACACAAAAAAAGGGGATAAACTTCTGCTAGGAAGGATAATGGGATATGGTATGTAAAAACCTTCCGCCTTTCATTGCAGCATGTCTGTAAGTACAGAAATACATAACAATTGGTGGAGGAGAGAGAACACTGTGGTTAAATGGAGGCATTTGCTGCAAGAACTGAATGAACCTCAAATCGTGAGTGATCCAGACACTGGTGTTCCAGCTTCATCTGGCCTGTTTACCCTCACTTTGTTCCTCTCTGCTTTGACCATGGGGACAAATCCCATATTACAAGTAAACACTGCTACATCCTCTGCTGCCCTTCCTTGCCTGTCTGCACTTTCCCCACGGGAGAAGAGAGAAGAGCCAGCTCTGCATGACACAGTGAGTAAACAAGTCTATTTTAAAGACTGATTGTGCTGAGTAGGAGTGGCCTTTCCCTAAGAGCTTTGAAAACTGGCATTGCATTTCTGCTGGGAAAGCACTAAAGTACAAAGGTTTCTGTCCCTTGCACTAACCGTCCCCTTGTGCACACAGGCATTAATGGCTTTTGGTCCAGGGCCATGTGTATGAAAGCCCATGGACTAACATGCCTTTTTCCTCTGGATGAGACCAGCAATCCAACACCACCCTTTGCAGCTGGAAGAGCTTATTAAATCTAGTCCCATTAAGTCTGTGAGGGCTGCGGACAATGCAACGGCTAAGAAAGCTGCTCTGGTCTGCCTTGTGCTATATTCAGGCACAGCAACAGGAACTGAGATGTGGCTGCTCCCCTGCTCATGAGCAGACACAGAGGGTCTGTAGCTAGATGCAGTTGTACACTGGAAACCAAGAAGTGAACACAGAGGAGCACAATGTAGTAGGTCTCCTCTGCCGGGATGCCTGCAAACCCAGCAAAGGCATCTCCCAAAGAGTGGCCAGTCCTGAGCCCATACCAATCCTAGAAAGCCTTTCATAAACACAGGGGAGCCAAGCTCAGGGCTGGAGTTCCACCTGTCCCCACTGTCTAGTTCCGAGATCTGGTCCCTTTGACTCAAGCAAAGCCAAAGGCACAGGGTGCCCAGAGAAGCTGTGGCTGCCCCATCCCTGGCAGTGTTCAAGGCCAGGTTGGACACAGGGGTTTGGAGCAACCTGCTCTAGTGGAAGGTGTCCCTGCCTGTGACAGGGGGTGGAACTGGATGAGCTTTAAAGTCCCTTCCAACCCAGACCATGACATAACCCCGCCGTTGCAGCTCTTAGTTGTGGCAAGCCTTATGGATCTGCTTCCAAACACTTGCTGTATCCCTCCTGCAGCTGCTGCGGGCTCCCCCACGCTGCGTGCACAAGCACTGTGTGTTGTCAGCCCCATTTTACCCATGGCTGGAAGAAGCAGCAGCCCCTCCAACAGCGGCCAAGCTCCGCCACACTCCCGTTTCTGGGAGCCGCCGGGAGAGCCGGGCCGCGCCGCGCCGCCTCCCTGCCGCTGAGGTACGGCGGCGGGGCTGCTCTGAAGGAGGAATGGCTCCTGCGGTGCTCGCTGCAGCCGCGGAAAACCACCTTAACGCGGAGGCAGGAAGCCGCGGGGCCGGCAGGCACCAATCAGGCCGGCCCGGGGAGGGCGGGCGAGTGGTGGCCGTTGGGGACCGTAGTGAGGGCGGGGCGGGCCCAGCTGAGCCGGCGGCGCTGGGGGCAGATGGCGGAGGGCGGCCTCCCCGGCGGCGGGGACCCGCCCGCTGCCTCAGGCAGGTAACGTGGGGGATAGGGGCTCCTCCCGGGGGACGGGAGCCCCCGCTCCTCGCCTCGGGGTAGGGCTCAGCCTGGCTTCCCCTCCCGCCCCGGTCTCTCTCCAGCGCAGGTCGTAACCTGAAGGAGTGGCTGCGGGAGCAGTTCTGCGACCACCCCATCGAGCACTGCGAGGACACGCGGCTGCACGACGCGGCCTACGTGGGGGACCTGCCCACCCTCAAGAGCTTGCTGCAGGAGGAGAGCTTCCAAAGGTGAGGGAGGCGTCCTGCACATAGAAACACAGGGGCTGGGCTGGAAGGGACCTTAAAGCTCATCCAGCTCCAACCCCTGCCACGGGCAGGGACACCTTCCACTAGAGCAGGTTGCTCCAACCTGGATTTGAACACTGCCAGGGATGGGTGTTAGATGGGAGTGTACTTTGCTTGCCCCCCACAACCATCCCTCTGTGGTCTCCAAGGGGGTAAATCCTGAGCTGCTTTGTGAGTGTGCGTGTCCTCTGATTCCTTTCAGATCAGAGGAATGTCATACCATGAGAAATGGGGGCTTGTGTATGATGGAAGAAACATGCAAACAAGGATTAAAATCGACTATAAACCTGAAACACCCAATGTTATAAAATCTGCCCAGTGCAAAGTCTGGAAGCATGGGGATAGTTAATGAATTTTTCCGCACCACAGAGAAACGGCTGGTTTGAGTGCAAAATGTCTCCCAGCCTCAAAAAAGCATCCTTTCAGCAGAAGTGAGAATGAGGCAGCCGCTCTTTCTGCTTCTGGGCAGATGGGGGTGTTCAGAACCAGAGACTGGGTTGGGTGGGGGGGAGAGCTTAAAGCTCATCCAGCCCCCTGCCATGGGCAGGGACACCTTCCGCTAGAGCAGGTTGCTCCAAGCCCCTGTGTCCAACCTGGCCTTGAACACTGCCAGGGATGGGGCAGCCACAGCTTCTCTGGGCACCCTGTGCCAGCGCCTCAGCACCCTCACAGGGAAGAGCTTCTGCCTAAGAGCTCATCTCAGTCTCCCCTGTTCTGGCAGGTTAAAGCCATTCCCATTGTCCTGTCCCTACAGGCCCTTGTCCAAAGCCTCTCTCCAGGTTTCTTGCCGGCCCAGATTTCCTGTGCACGCCTGATTTGAGTTTTTTGCCTTATTTTGTCCCATATCACATAAAAACCCTGTGGCAGCAGGGCCAGGTTGACCTTCCTTGCAGGAAAAGCAATATTGGGTGGGAGGAGGAGGGCTGGAGGCTGCAGCACCATCACACAGCTGATGGAGTGAGAGGAGAACTGGCTTCTTTCAGGGTATGTGTGGGGTGGGCATCCGCAGACCTCCAAGGTTAAAGGGGAGCACTTTTATCATAAGACTTGAAAGATGAGGGCTTAACATGGTTAAAAAAGCCCCAGCTGTGGGATTGCTCTCCTGGCAAACTCTGTAAGCACACTGTATAGAAACTGCTTTGTCCTGTACCAGTTACGTGGGCTCATGGAGTGAGCCAGAAGAGCACATCCACTGCTGTGCTGGCTAAAGAGCATTTTCACCAGCCTATGTTGGCCTTAAAGAAATCTCTTCCTTTCTGTTCAAAGTGTACTGGCAGTGATTTGCAGAGAATTTGGGAGCGAGGGCTGGATGCTTATGAGACTTCTAGGGCTAACCTGAGATCTGCGTGATCATAAAGGCTAATGCAGGTTATTTCAGAGGGATCTAAGCAGCTGCCAGCCAGATCCATCTCTTCCAATAACCTGGAAAAGGCTCTTATGCCAATACACCCGCCCAGAGGGGATGCTAATGGCCTCCTGTTCAGATGGGGATCGCTGCACCTCTCCACTTTGCTGCTTGCTGGCAGGGCTAGGTTTCCCTGGATTTGTGTTTGTCATGCCGTGGTGCCTGGCTGCGTGTGGATGTTGCTGGCAGTGTGACATGTATGTATGCCTGCATTTCCATGTGCTGTTTCTTTCCTTCCTATGTCCTCTTGCTGTTTCCTTGCTGCTTTAATGACTTTGTGTCCCCTTTGGAGCAGCTTGAATTAAATGGTTGTGATCCCCAGCTTGGTTGCTGCTGATCTGGGACATTGCCCTGTAAAAAGGGACTATCTTACTTGTTTATTGGTAATTTTGATTGTGTTTTGATGCAGGGTTTGCCCTCACTGTGTATATGTGCAGCTGAGCTGCCATAAAGCCCGTCTCCCAGGCACTGTGGCGTAGCCTCCTATTATCAGCAGGAGCTTTTCAGGGCTGCTCTAAAGTGCCCCAAATGGGCAGGAAAAGCTTCATGGGAGCATTTTGGTTTCTCCCAGATCCTCCTTGGGGGCTGGAGGAGGTGGGGTGGTGGAAGGCAGCAGGAGGGCTCCTCTGATGGAATGCTTTCCCCTTCCAATGCAGACGGATCAACGAGAAGTCGGTGTGGTGCTGTGGCTGGCTGCCCTGCACGCCACTGCGCATCGCTGCCACTGCCGGCCATGGGCCCTGTGTGGACTTCCTCCTCCGCAAAGGGGCTGAGATCGACCTGGTGGATGTGAAGGGGCAGACAGCCCTCTACGTAGCTGTGGTCAATGGGCACCTCGAGTGTGCTAAGATCCTCCTGGAAGCTGGGGCTGACCCCAACGGCAGCAGACACCACCGCAGCACTCCTGTCTACCATGCGGCACGTGTGGGCCGGGCAGACATCCTTCAGGAGCTGATCAGGTGAGAGCTCAGGTACATGCTAGAGATGGGTGACTCTACCTCCCTCCTCTTCCCTTGGGCACTTTTCCCCCATGGGGCTCATCCATTCCCTCGTTGCATGCCCAGTGTCTCCGCAGGCCTAGTGAAGCTCACTAAGTGATGGACAGGGTGAGAGGATGGAGAGGTAGCCAAAGGGACATCCTTGTATTCCCCATTGATTGGCCCTGGCAACAGGTCTGTGCCCTGCTCTGTGGATCCCATGTCTGTTTTCCTAGGATGAAGCCCAAGAGAGGAATTTCTGTTTCTGAGCCCACCATCCACTATTCAGCCAGATCCAAATTGTTCAAAGTATCTTCCTCCCAAACTCTTACCTTGACTGCCAGCTCCATGGCCTGTCTGAATTTATGAGTGACGTGGATCTCCCAGTGAACAAAAAGTGTTTGGAAACTCATTTCTCCTTTGCTTAGCTCTGCTGCTCTGACCATTTTCTGCCCTTAGGAGGAGAGATGTTTGTCACTGGCACTGGCTGTTCCTGCCTGCCTGGTGTTTGCCCATCATTATGATGCCCTCTGTGGCATCTGGTTCAGTCTCCCCTTGCTAGAGATCTGATGCACAGCTCCACTGACGGAGTGGCATCTCTGAGGCAGAGAGTGATGGCCATCACTATAAGGTGATGAACAGTAACCTTAGATTTGGGTGGTGAGTGATTGGTGACCATCCGTCCCTCAGGAAACTGTCTCTGCAGCACCAGCAGTGCTCAAGATGTAGCAGCAGGCTGTGTGAACTTGACTTTCCTTCCTCTGTGGTGTGCTGTGATACTTCCTTTCTTCTAAATTGGAAGCTTTTTGTATAAGGGACTAAATGGGCTGTTGACACCAAATACTAAGGGAGCATCAGGGGAAAATACAGGTTGTAGAAAGAAATAATAAAAGAGAAGAAAGTGTGTTTGGATTCCCACAGAAATGCTGTCCAAGAAACCCATTCAGTGACCACAGATGCTAGAAAATAGCAACCAAAAGGGTTTGAGTAGCAACATTTCAAAGTACTTGGGGATTTTCTCCTCTCCTTTTTGCTTGTGGGGAAGTTAATTTTCCTACAAGGGCAGCTTTAAGGAAGCTGGCAGGTAGAAAGAAGGGGAGATGGTCCCCCCTCCGCTTTCCTTTCTCAAGCTGAGAGAAGGATGTCCCCATAGCCATGTGCTTGTCAGTACAGGCTTCAGCTCCCATGCTGCATTCCCAAGAATCTGCCCTGAGATATCTGCTAAGGCAGAATGAAATGTAGCAAATGGTGTTTCAGCAGCACAAGGGAGAGCTGATGCATTGATTTATGTGTCTACTCCTAGGGATACCTTGCCAGCAATATTAAAAGCAAGAGTTTGGAACACTTTCAGGCTTAAAAATGAACTGGAGTTTGTCCAATGTGTTTTTATTAGACAATGTCTCTCCCAAAGCTGCTAAGCTAATACCATATTGTCAGATTGCCCACAATTTCAAATATCTTGGAGGATGGATTTCACAGATCTCTTCAGATTTGCTTGCTTTCAAATGCAGTCTGTTGTTGCAGAGCTCACTTGGAGAGTTGTAAGATGTTGCTCTCAAAGGCTTTGGCAGGGGGAATGCAATGAGGAAGACACTTTTACTGGGATAGAAGGAAATACTTCAGCATATTCAACTCCAGAAACCCTCCTAAGTTCTAAAGAGAAAGCCCAACCCAGCCAGGCTTGCTGCAAGTGTCTAAACATCACCTAGTTCATCTCTTTGTTAATCATATGGTAGCACAATCAGGATTCCTGGATACTCCTATAATTGCTGAACCAGCTACCCAAGCAAGAGGTGAAACTGTATCCGTGAACAGTAAATACACACATAGCTATGGGATGGTGATCTGCTTTTTAACATGGCTGGTAGAAGTATTTATGGTTAGATTGCCAAGGTATAGAGATTACTTTCTTAACAGCTTGTGATGTGATCATGCCGTGAGGTTGGACTGTTGCACTGTACTTGCAGTACGACTGAGAGCTGACCTCATTATGAAGGATTAAGGGTGAGAGGATCCTTTTGCCACACTAAAACAGTGAAAAAGAGACCTGACAAATGGCCCTGCTGCCTCAGGTGCATGCTGAGCTTTGTATTTTGCTTTGGATTGAGGGTTTCCACTGGGGATTTTGATGACAATAGTGGGAAAAAGAGAACTCAAATAAAGGGATATCTGCTGTCTGGTCAGGATCATGGCCATAGGAGGCAGTGGCCCTACCAGTCTCCTGAGATCTCAGCCAAGGTGTTCATGCTTGGATGATCTTGCTTGTTGGGGTGAAAATGCACTGCATGCCCTTTGCAGCTCTTAGATAAGTTTCCCTGGGCCTTGTTCTGAGTGTGCTTCATTTAAATGTTCCCATCCTCTGGTTAAGTGTTTGCTGGATGGTGACCAGCCCCCTCCTTGGGCTGTGCTTGCCTTGAGGCAGGATTTGTCCCCAGGTGGTTTCCTTATTTGCTTTATTAACTGCAGAAAGGACTATAATGCTACCTAGGAAGACAGAAAAGTCTAGTTTTGTGGGGGGGACTGGTGAGTGAAGGAGGTTTTTATCCCTCTGTGGCGAGAAGGGACAGGGCTTTGCCTGATCTTGGTGCTGCAATTAAAACCAGCTACTCCTGAGGGGATTGTGTGTCTTCCACTTCCTTCCCATCCAAGCTGCATGTGAAGTAGATGGACACAGTGTCCCCATTGCTTGGGTGTTACCCAGCCTGGGGAAAAGAAATGCTTATTTCTGCTGTCTCTTCTTTCTGCAGCATTGCCATTTTCCAAATTGCTCTGCCAGAGAGCAGCACTTGGCCTTTTTTGCTCCCATTTATTTGGCCGCATTCTTCACTTCCTACAAAAAAAAAAAAATAAAAATGAAAAGAACCAAAGGCAATAAGCCCTCTTTTCTGCTTCATCACAACTTAGTGCCATCTGTACTTACTGAAAAGAAGTATGCTACGGGCACTGCTTCTGTTTCGTGATGATATTCGTGGCCCTTGAGCGGGGCTTCAGCCTGCTTGCATGGCATCTTGCAAGCCAAGCCCATGGCAGAGATACAGGATGTGGGTTTCTCTGTGGGGTAGGGCAAGGCAAAAAGCTTGGGAGGTTTGGTGCTGCAGCTCCTGGGGGTCCCCCCGGCAGCTCCTGGAGTGAGCTGTAATCTCTTGTGTGGTATCCAGTAGAATGTATAGCCTGTGAATGGAGCTGTGCAGGATGGATGCAGACAGGGGAGGGCCTGATGCCATTATTTTATGTCCTTCCAGTTTTCTGAGTTGAATACTAGGGAAAAGGCCTCTTTTTGACTCCCTGAAGGGATTTCTGATGGTATTCCAAGTGCCCTAGTTCCTTTGGGAGCAGGATTTTGACATGTGTTGCTGCTGAGCACAGATTTCTGTTTCCATTTCCGTGCTATCTGTGACAGTCAGATCGATTGTCTGTATTGCTTTTTGGCCTGTTTTAGCCTGGTGGGGAAATCATTTCACTGCATCTCTTCAACTGAGTAATTTGGAAGCATCCCTGCTCCCCAGCCAGCTCACTAGCATCCAGCATTACGTGGTGCTGGCTCAGGGCTGAGCCATCCCTTGTGCCAAGGCCGTGTTTGGCCAGCCCTTCAGGAGGGCAGGGAAAGATGTTTGCAGCTGCTCCTCCTCCCTCTGAAGCCTGGGTTGTTGTGGGCAGAGATACAGCTTTGCTTCTTGACGATCAGACCATGCAGGATACAGCATCCCCTCTCAGAAGCCCCAGCAGGCCCATCTGAGTGTAGGTATGGATGATACTTGGGTGGTAGGCCCCAGAGGTACCAAAGACAGGCAGGGTGCTCACTCTTTGGCCTCACCTCTTGCCATTTTGGGCTTCGGTTGTGGTGATGTTGGCCTTGTTTCCAAACCTCTGCTCTCCTCTTCTTTCCCAACCAGGTATGGTGCAGATGTGGATGTGAATCACCACCTCCCTTCCCACGGTCCCAGCCCTTCCCTGCGGCCCCTCACCACGCTGGTGGTCTGCCCACTCTACATCAGTGCTGCCTATCACAACCTCCAGTGCTTCCGGCTGCTGCTCCAGGCTGGAGCCAACCCGGATTTTAACTGCTGTGGGCCTATCAACATCCAAGGCTGCTCCCGGGGCTCCCCAGTGTGTGTGATGGACGCTGTCCTGCGGCATGGCTGTGAAGCAGCATTCGTCCACCTTTTGATTGACTTTGGAGCCAATCTGAACCTGGTGAAAGTGGAGGCCTTGGGAGTCGAATCCACAGGAAGGGTGAAAGTCAACCCTGAGGCTCTGCAGGTGTTCAAAGAAGCAAGGGGTAAGTAGCTTTGATTTACTGAAGTCTGGTTCTGTCTCACTCTGGATTCAGGAGAGTTCTTTGGAGAGTTTATTTGGGAGTTAGGAGCTGTTCAGATGGTAGCGTCCTCTTTTGGGTCTGTTCAGCAAAAAGGTGGTGTAAACAGATTATACCTAACTTAAAAGATAACTGGACTTTAACAAGCTGTTAAGCAAAGTGTGAATGGCTTCACCACCCCTGATACAGCTCCCCTAGAGCTGTTGCTGGCCAGGCAGGCATCAAGCAGGACAGGACTATGGGGCTGGCCTCTGTGGCTCCCTGGCACAGATCCTTGGTGTTGCTGAGCTGATGCTCTGCCAGCATTGATGACTCAACCCAGTGGCTTCCCCATGAGCCTCCAGCCAGCTGGTTTTCTCCTGTTGCGTTTGGTACATTCATGTGGTGGTTTCCTCCCTCTTGAGTTCTTCAACTACCAACGGTGCCTCTTGCAGCAGTTTGTAACTTTATCTTTCTTCCAGCTCCTTTTTCCGTTGCCTAACCATGTCCTCAGCAAGGTTTAGGCAGCATGGGCCTGTCAGAGCTGGGCTTTGGATATGTAGACCACAGGCAGGTTATGGCATATCCAACAAGATCCAGTTCTCCAAAGCCATGCAGGTGGACCCTCACTGTTCTTGGGTAAACCTGTGCTCTGCATGGGGAGGGACCCAAGAGGTGTATCTGGACAGGCTGCTTGGGCAGTGAAGCCACAAATGGTGGTAGCAAGTGGCAGGATGGTGGTGGAGAAAGGTGGGAAAAAGCTGGGGTTTGGAATTTCACATCCTCTGGAAAGCAAATGGGTTACAAAAGAAGTCAACCAGAGTTTCAGACCTGATCATGCCTAACTTTACCTGCTGTTTCTTTCTTTTTATGACAAAAATAACACCAGTACAGTGTGCGTCCTTGTTCCAGCAAGGGCAGCACCTCATAAAACCACCAGGCTCAGCTAGTGAAGGCCAGGCACCAGCTCCAAAGTGGAGTTTCCCTCCTGAACTCCACAGGAATTTCCAAGAGATTCAGGCTGTGGGATGCAACCCCCAGCTCCAAGTTATTCAGCTTTGCACGTGCCTGGTTTTTCAGATTGCTTGGACTTTTGCTGGGAAGAGGCACATGGTTTCCATTAAGCCTAAGTTTAGGAGGCAAATGGGACTCCTCAGGTAGAGCATGCAGGATAATGGAGTGGTGCCTTGGAGGTCCCGAATCAACATGGACACCACCAATGTGGATGTCTCTGTGCTGGAAGAGCTCTCCGTGAACTGAAAAGAAGCCATCAAAAGAATGTTGGTGGAAGGCCTCAGCTGGCCATCAATGCTGTTGTTTCCCAAGGGGGTGATTTAGAGCAGAAATAAAGTCCATGTCATCTTAAAACAATCTGAATAGCATAAAGCCTCCCACAGCCTCCCCTGGTGTGGATTTGGCAGTGATCTCTTGAACCCTCTCATGCAGGGACTGGCTTCATGGTCACAATCCCATGCAGCCTTCAGCATGCCCTTCCACACTGCGTGTGTGGTGGCTCATTGCGCCATGGCTTTGGCCTCCTCATGGGGGGATCTGTGCATGCTCTGCTCACAGCACTTGCCTTCATGTTGCTGTGTAGGATGGAAGGAGTAAATGACTCCTCAGCTGTCAGCCAGAGCTCAGCACAGTTTACACACTGTTAGCCCTCTCTCTGAGCCTCAATAGTTGTTCTCTTTCTTCCTTGCAGGCCGCACCCGGAGCCTCTTGTCTCTCTGCCGCATAGCTGTACGAAGAATACTTGGCAAATCCCGGCTGGATCTGCTCCATAGCCTTCCAGTCCCAGACCCCATTAAACAATTTCTACTTCATGAACGCAGTTAAAGGGCAACTGGCTGCTTTCTGGGACAGTTTGATTAAGTAAATGAGTGCACTGATAAAGCCAGATGCCAACCCTAACCCTTCCATCACAGTGAAACACCGTGCTGCTCATGGAGTGCACATAATTCCCTGCCCCTGTGATTTTCCCCTCCACATTTAGGGTGCAGTGATTTTGTGTGTCTATTCTTAAGCTACTGATTATCTCACTGGTGATTTCTTGTTTGCAACTGGTTGGGCGCTGAGGCCGGTAAGCATCTGTGGCTGTTACATGAGTAAATACAATACATCCTATAGCTGTTAGCATATGTCTGTTTGTTATGAATCTACCTCTGTTCTTGATCTCTGTTACACCTTGTGTCTCAGCATGGGGAAGTGTCTTTCCTCTTCCTATAGCGTACAGGGGAGTTTCTCCTCACTCTGGTGAAGGTTTTACAAGAGCACTGTTCTCTTTCTGCCATCAGTACCTGACCTTCTGTATGAAGTTTGTGGTTGCTGCTGTAAAACTTGGTGTATTTTCTTCTGTATTCATGGTGTGAAACCCATCGTTTCCTGTCCAGTGCCGGGTGTTACTTGGAAAATTGTATCCGCGTGTTGCAAAGTGGCTCTCTTTGTGTAGAGGTTTCATCACATAGATGGGAGAGTAGCAGAATATGTAATGCTATCCTGTCTGAGTCACGTCTACAGAGCACCAGAGCTGCTGTGGCAGCTTGACTCTTCCTCCAGCACTGTAATAGACAAGGCAGGGGCTGGCTGGTCTCAGCCTGGGACTGGGTCAAGTCTTGTGACTGCTGCCATAGCATGAATGAGCAGACGTGAAGAGGAAAAGGTAGTTTCACCTTTGGGAACTCGTAGCTCCACAGCCTGATGTGGGGATGTGATTCCTACTGCAGTGATGGTGGGGCAAGGACTATGAAAGCACGTGAACCTGGGAGACTGCTAGACTGCTTTTTTGAAAAGCAATGCCTAAACTCATCTTCTACTCCCTGTAAAATGGGTTTGAATATTTGAGAGTGACCAAGAGCAGCAGTGGAGGGAGGAGGTGCTGAATTAAATGGTTCTATTGCTGTTCTGGATGGTAGTTGATGCAATACCTGAGAATGTATCTGTGTAATTAGGAAGAAAAAGACACCAAAATGATCACTAGACTGCCTGCTTGCAATACTGCCGTGTTGGTGTTACTGAAGGCCCAGTAAAGTAGCTGATAATGCACGGCACATAGAAATAGAAGAGCCTACTTACCTCTTACTCTGTATCCCATCATGTCAGCAGGACTAGAGAAAACCTTCCTAGATCCATTTCGCAGTTTTTTTCTGTTTGCTACTGCTCCTACCAGCATTATGGAAAACAGAAAAGACTTTTTGTCTTTCCTTGAAGAGTTAGGAGTTTATGTGCCTCTAAATGCAGCCTTGCACCCAGCAGCCTGGGCTCCTTTGATTTCCATTGCTGTTTGCCTTCATGTCACAAGTTCACAGGGTAGGCTCACCCTGCAGTGATTTGATAGCCTTTCGTAGGGATCTCAGGGTCATCCAGTTCCTTGTATAGGAGACATTGTCAAAATAGCAACTTTAGAAGGACAGAGGTGATGGTCCCTCAGGATCTGGGGTAAAAGCTCAGGTGATAATTGGTGTTTGCTTTTATTTTACTGATTCAAGTGCTTCCTAGTTTATTTTGGGGGTAATACTTTCTTTGCCATATGTTTTTCCAGAAGTGATCTTAAAGATGATGGGGATTTATTTCATGTATGGTATTAGTGCATAGGGGCCTGTTGTTGAGGGCTGTTAAGCATGGGATGGTAGGGACAGTAAGACAGTCCCATTGGGAATGGAATTTGGTCTGATCACTTTTCTCCTTGACCTGCTACAGTAAGAGGGAAATGGGGTTGTTGAAGCAACCTTGCATTTTGATTTCAAATGCTGTTGGCTGACACTAGAGGAGCAGATCCTCAAGACTTGCCCCATTGATCTTGATACTAGTTAGAAAATGTGCTTTTTCTTTTCCAGAGGTATAAATGAATGCAAACTCAGTTCAGTTTCCTGTCCTCCCACTATGGGGTGCGTTAAGGGTAGAGTTTAATAAGCAGTGATGGACTTGCGGGTATGTTTTATTATCTGCTGAAGAACACGTGCCTTTTGAATCTGCTGTCAGAGGAGGAGGAAGGGCAAGCTCCTGCTTGTTTCCTGTTACTCCAATTCCATGGCCAGGCCTGGAAGATTCTTAAATTGCTTGACTCCCTGATTTTGGGGTGAGGTGGCAAAATCTGCACTTCTGGGAACAGGCTGAAGTGTGATGGTTACATTCAGTGCTTAGATGCTAAAGCAAATGGTACTTTTACATTCCTCCTCAGGTGAGATCTAATGGCAGGGCTGTGTAGCTGTAGGCATGCTCTCAAGGTGAGAAGGCAGCAGTTTTGCACTGTTTCCTTTTCAGGCTTGCAGATGGTTTAGGTTTTCACCATGCTGGAGGCCAGGGCAGCCCATGAGCATGTTGCCTGGGAGAGTTGTGCGCTTGCTTTATAGTAGTGTTAACATGCCTGAGAGATGCAAACAGGTTGTAAAGCCTCTTGTCACCTTGCTCGAAGAACCATAATGTTTTGCAGGAGCACGGGCTGACCATACTTTCCAGCTCCAGTGTATTAGAGGCAGAAATGGAGGTAGGTTGTCTTGAGAAAGTGCCATTGAACTGCTGCTTTGGGTTGATCCTTTTTCCCCCTTGATTTTTTACTTAGTTTTGTACCCGTTAGTGCCTTTTGGGTGAAGGTGGCAGGATGGGGAGAGCTGGCTCCACCCAGAGTGAGATACACTCTGAATGATAGAAGGTGGTCCAGGGAAACTGAGAGAATTTAGTTAGCTCAGTGCCTGATGTAGCTTAAAGCCAAGGCTCTGCAGATGAGCTGTTACAGTTTTAATTCTAGATGCTTCAGCATTTGGTTTGCTGACTCTTGTGCCCTTGCCTGATGCTGTCCTGCAGTGTGCTTATGAATAGCCTGCCATTGCACCCTGACCAGTTTAGCAACAGTGATCCCTTCCAGAACACTATGTAAGTGAAACTGTGAAGAGCACCCTCTCCCCATGCACAGAGTCAGTGCTTGGTACTGCCAGGATTCCTCTGTAGGTCCTACTGGTGAAGTCAAGCCATGATGGGGGGAGAAGACTTTGGCCTCTGGGTAGTTCTTTTGACCTCAAGCTTGAAAGGACTACATGGATTTTCAAGTCCATCTGATGTGGAGTCCAAAGGCTTCCCCTGAGCATGGATATCTCTGATCCACAGGTCAAAAGATGGTTCTCCCAACCCACTAGCAGACAAGCTTGAAGTTCATCAATCCCTTGGACATTTGCAGAGTCAAAGCTTTGAAGGGCAGGAGGCATTTTGCCTGGGCCCATCCACCTAGAGGGACTGTGCTTCCTGCATAGGTCTCTGTGTTAAACTTGGATGGTCTTTCAGTCTTGAGGACCTGAAGGGAGTCCAGCTCAAGGGGACAACTCATACAATTAAGCCATAAGTACAAAGACAACTGTTAGAGTGAGTCCCTGTGGATGCTTTTTGCTGAAGTTACATAACCCAGCTTTGCCTGAGTGAAGTGCTTTAATGCACAGACTTAGATCTGGAATTTTCATTGTAGGGAGATAATACTGAATCTCAAAATAGATCCATGCTATTCATAGACCTACGTGTCCTGTCCTGTAGGGCCAAAACCTACATGCTTCGGCTGTCCCTGTACTTTTAAACTGAAGAAACAAGTCTTCCAGTATGAAATCTGAGTTACATGTGCATACTGTATGTCTTTGTACTATATAAACAGCATTTATTTTTGCCTTAACTTGGACTTCACTGTTTCCTCCTATGCAGCAAAGTGTTCTCTTTTGTAAAGGTGTTCTTTTCCATGTTGTCACATGAGTAACAAATGAGTATCCTGAAGCTATGGGTGGGAAATTAAACTGTTTAATTTTGTGTACATCACCTATACTGACGAATGCCTGCTATGTTTGTGTGTAAGATACAAGGCATTGTGTGTAAGCTTGGGTGGGATGGGAATGACAAGATTTGGCAAATGCTTATAAAACCAAACCAGATCTGGACTGAGCAAAGCAGATCCAAAGCAGTCTTTTTGTATGGAGGCTTTCCGCTTGTCTTTGTTGCTATGGGGGATTTTCAGAGCATGAGATGCTGGTAACTGATACCCAGATATGTTGCTGTCCCAAGCCCTGTCCAACCTGGCCTTGAACACTGCCAGGGATGGGACAGCCACAGCTTTCCTGGGCACCCTGTGCCAGCGTTTCAGCATCCTCACAGAGGGTCAAGTAAGGCAGTTTCGACACCCAAACTGGCCTTTGAGGTACAGCTCCTTTTTGGCCCTACCTGTCCCACTGAGGAAAGCAGCCCAGGACAGAACAGAGGTGACAGGGTCCCACTTCAAGAAGTGCTAATCAATGCTCTGGTTTTGCCCAGGGAAAAATGACTCTGCAGAGCAGCAAGGTCACATCTGAAAGTAGGTAGGTGGTATCTATAATGGGCCTGGATCCATGGGTAGCTGGATAAAGATGTACCAATGCAGGAGTGTGGCTCTTTGCCTTGCGGGGGAGGAGTACAGCTCTACGCAGCAAACCCTGAATCCTGCAGTGGAGACTCTCACTGCTCCTCTGCATGTCCTGTCACCACTGGAGGGGGCCGGAGAACCGTGCTGCCTGCATCAGGCAGGGCAGGCAGGGAC